CCTGAAAAGACTGTGAAGTTTCTTTTTATCAGAGCTAAATGTTGCTTAACCATACCTATCTTTATTTTTTTAATAATAAGAGTCAGAAGAAGCTTCATGCCAATAAGCCAAAAAGTGGACGGCTTGGAGGTGCCCAGACTGCTGGTGTGGGTCCCTGCCAATCAGGCTTGCTGGCCCTTTAGTGGTGGGACAAGGGGGGGTCCCTCTGCAGGAATTTTTTTTTCTTGTTTTGGTCCACACCTGGTAGTGCTCCCAGATCACAAGCCTCTTTGGTACCCACAGTGGGATATTTGGGAGACAAAAGGAAAACTCGGGGAATTTGAGGCCGTGAATTCATCTTTTTCTTTAGACTGCTCAGAGTTCCAAGTCCATTTATGATTTTGTGTTGAATAATTTCTGGAACATTTAGCTGTATTTATAGGGGAGGAACCAGAAAAATGGAGTCTATGTCATATTGTAAAAAACAGCAATTTAAATAAGATTCAGATGACAGCATACTGTCAAGCAACCCCAAGGACTCTAGTGTCCTTCAGGATGGCCATTGCTCTCACATTTCATCAGTGACTTACTTGTTAACAGTTATTCCTTTTGAATCTTGGTTCATTAAAATGTTGAAAACCTTTCAGTCTAATTACATAAAATTTTGCTAGCATAATTTTATCCTTTCCTGCTACAGTTTTCCATATTTATACTAATATTTATGAAGGAATATTTTATTATTCATTTATGTACCTCATAATTAAATGTCTTCTAATTCAAGCCCTAGCTGTTATAACACATTCATTCAATTCAGTGATTGCCTCTGCAATGGGTAAATGTATATAAGAAGACCATTTGGTTTTTTAAAAAATATTTCTGATAGGCTGCCTTTTGATATCCTGATAGAGATAATATTTTTCTTCTGTTTTAACAATGAATCCCTTGGCCTCCTATAGCACAAAAAATTACATTAACTCCAAGATGACCTAGGTAGCAAAAGGTCATCTATTTGCTTTGCAAATTTGATTAAGTAGGAGGACAAGTTTTACTGACAGGACAAATGGCCTCATTAATATTGAGACAAATGAGATTTGTCTCTAAGCTTTGCCAAGATTTAAAGTCAACTTTTAAACAATGAGTTTTCTAACTATAACGTATTTTAGGATACAAGTGTCAGGTGTAGGTAAACCACAGTTAACATAGAAAAATTGGTGGGTAGTGTGCCAAAAGTTTTGTCCATCTGAGCAAGAAGAACTTTGCACCATTTTAAGATTAGTAAATAAGGAACCCCCTTTTCACAGCAAGCCAATAATGGAGTGAATTATCTATAGGTGTTGACTATAGAGAGTATAAGAGCATTATAATCAGAGTCCCCTTCCAAAGGCTGGGAAGCACTACACAGAAACACACTATCATCCAGTGTCCATAGGTTTGTAAGAAGTCTACTTTATTAGCCATAAGTGAATCTTTTAAAGACAAGATTCAATTTGGAGCTTTTTGATCACTATTGATTTTTCCCTTTGCAGTCTACTTAAGCATAAGATTATCGAGAAGGTATTTGTCATGGTCTAAATAATGGTCCCCCAAAGATGCCCATGCCTTAATCTTGGAACCTGTGAATCTCTTACTTTACAAAGCAAAAGACATTTAGAGGTGTAATTAATAAAATGAGGTGGACATGGGGAAGATTATCCAGAGTTATCGAGGTAGGAATAACGTAATTATGAGAGTACTTATAAGAAGAAAACAGGAAGGTCAGAGGCAGATGAAGAGAGATTGAAAGATGCTACACTTCCTGCATTGAAGATGAGAGATGGAGCTATAAGCCAACTAATGCAGGCTGTCTTCAGAAAGTGGAGAAGGCAAGGAAACACTTTCTCCTAGAGTCTCCAGAAAAAATGCAGCCCTGGTAACCCACCTCAGATTTCCAATCTTCAGAACTGTAAAATAACAAATTTGTATTCCTTTTAGCCCCTAAACTTGTGATAATTTGTTACAACAACAGTACAAAGCCAATAGTGCTCCACAGCCAGGAGAGTGTGGTATCAGAGAAGGTTTGACCCTGTGATTCAATGCCAGAAATTAATATATAGTCATTTTATTTATGTTTATATTTATATATACATTTGTATGTATTTATATACGTGGGGTTTTTTTGCTTTTAATTTTTGTGCTTTTCTATAACCTTCAATGTTTTTTTTACCTTGAACATAATGCTTTTGTGAATAAAAAAGTTATTTTGCCAATAAATTGAAAGACATTTCAGGCCTATAAGAATATATCAGTTGTGGAAACATGAAATATTGAAATTATGAAAGCAGATATGGCTGGGCACTCCCAGGCATCACAAATTGAAAAAAAAAACCTTATTACTTACTGGCATTGACATAAAAATCATTTATTTTTGGAAAGAGTAACTCTAATGTAAGAAGGTACTTAAAAAAAATAAAATAATCTCAGCAAAGAAGTTTAAACGTTACTTGTCTTGGACTGGAATTCTAATGTAATACTTAAGTAGATTTTTTTTTTTTTTTTTAGTGTACTAGCAGACAATTCATATTCTTAGTGACAGTATTACAATGCAACTAGCAACTATCTGGACATCACCCAAATACTTATTAATAGAAAAATGGGTACACAAACTCTGGTGTGGATTACTATGCAGCAGCAAAAATGAATTAAATTAGATTAAACCCAACATGGTTTAATTTAGAACACAGTGACAAGTAAAAGGGCAAGTCAGGGTTTTCATATAATTTTGTTTATATAACATTCAACACAACTAACAATGTATCACTTGGAATAAAATAGTGTGGTAGAAATATTCAGAAGAGTCAGGGTGATAATAGACTTAACATAGAGATTAACTCAGAGAGAAAAGAAACTAGATCAAAATTAGAAAAGATTGCAAGAGGGACTTTACATATAACGTTAATTTTGTCCCTTAAATTGATGTGCTTTACTGTATTATTAGACTTAATACTTTATATATCTGTTATAAACAATTTACATCTACCCAATATTTAATAAGACATTTGTATAAAACCCATAATTAATTAAAACTACAGGATCTGCAGGGGTGAACTGGTTTTGGGTGAAATGTGATAATTCCTACACATTTTTTTTTTTTATCTTGACCCACAATTTTGTTGCTATGGTCTTTTATTTTCTTTTAGGAAAAACTAATTTTTGGAAAATTTTAATGAATTTCTGAGTGATTTTTAATGTTTTGATAGTGACTTCAGGCTTTACATTCTATTGTATTGTGGTACAAAGATGTAAAGATATATTCTCTTCAAAATTTATTAGTATCTTCCTCTTAGGTTAACAGGTGGGAAATTCTTTACATACTCTTGCAGGAGGCTGTTATGTTTGAATGCAATATATACGTTATAGATTTAAATGAAACATATTTCACATCATCTGCACCTGTACTTAATTTTTACATTCAGTTGGAACTGAGTGAAATGTCATAAGATTTTACATAAATGATGCTTTCATAAATTTCCAACACTTTGATTTTTTGATACCTTCACATGAGCATGCCTGTTCTTCACCAAAGCACTGCTGCAAATTCCCCTTTCTTCATATGCCAACCATATCCAGTTATTGTTATGAAAGCAGCAAACCTTTTAGCTTTGTCTAATTTTGTCTCATTTCATTTGCTAATATTTGTTCTTTAGGGTTCCTACTGCATTAAATTTGTTGTGTGAATCCACAATCTACAAAGATAGGACTATATCCTTCTTTCCATTTAGTAGTTTACTAAACTGTGTTTTGAGTTATTGTGACTTGGATGTGCTGAGGTAAGCATAACATCTTGCAATGTGAATCAGATTTAAATTCTCTCTCTTGCTCTCTGTCGCTGTCCTCTCTCATCCCTCATATTTTCTTCTTTATCTCTGTCCAGACTCAATTCCCATTGGACTCTGACTTGTATACTGATTAAGATGAGGTATTCAAAGAAATATCAAATATGGCTTATTAATACTTATCCCAAACAAAATCTAAACACTTCGGTAAGACAAACCTGTCTCTTCAATTAAGATTCTGTCTGTAAAAATGAGAAAGAGGGGGACGTTTTCACAACTTTTACGGTGTTGCCCTCTTCTCAGAAGTGATAAATAGCTGTCAGCTCAAGTGGAAAACATTGTACAAAACAAATAGAATTTGATTTTCTTCCTCTAACATAATATGTAGCATGTGTAATCTATAACAAGGGACCTTTTCATGCAGAAAGTTAAAGTAGATCTACTATAGTCATTTACACTTCTGCTGTCATTTTTCAATTAAAATTTAAAGTAAAAGACATTATGAAAAGACAAAATATCCTAAAACATAAAAACAATTAAACATAGCTAAATATAGACATCTGCTCACTTTTTATTAAAAAGAAAAAAAAAAAAAAACAGAGAAACCATGTGTGCATTCCAAAGAAAAACTATGCCTTCCTTCAATGACATAAAATTCTGGCAGAACTAATGTGTCCCACTTGATGTTTACAGCTTAAATATTGAGCACAAAATATCCACGGTATATTGACAAGCCTGCCATTTACTTCTCTGCTGAACAGCATATACAGCCTTTAACTAACCCTTCTCGGCTCTGAGGAACAACCTGCAAGAATCAGTCAATATTTTGTCATTTCAATATTACTACATTTGCCCACAAAATTCTGCATAGATGGAGATAAAAGCTCTACTACATGCAAAGAGGGCGTTTTTTCCCCTTTACCACAAAATATTGATGAAGTGCTTTATTGAGGTGGAGATCTCATTAATTATTTGATTCTCAGAAAAAGAAGGCAGAGGGAAATGAGTGCCCGGCTAATACCATGATGTACCATCTTGAGACTTAAGATCTTTTTAATGTATTCATCAGGGGTGCATCTGAAAGGGGAAAGAGTGAGCTGAATGGGTCCATTAATTTAATTGAAGCAGCTCAGACAAGAGATAAAACATCCTAGCCTGCTTCTTTTCATACAGCATGAGCGCTGTAAGTAAACAGGCAGAGATCCAAACACACCAAAAAGAAATAAAGGTACATGAAGACTCCAGAGACTTCAAGGCCACGGAACATCAACAGATGCAGAGGTGAATTAACCCTGAAGAGGCCCTCTCTTCATGCACCACCATGTCAGTGTTCTGCGGGCACAGACTAGGCTTTATTGTGAAACTGAAGGACTTTGAGGTTACGTGTAAGTAATTTAGACTTCCTAAGGGAAAGTTGCCTTTGTTCCTTTTATTCCTCAAACTTCTGAGATGTAGACTCCATCTCCTGCTCTTGAAGGACACAGATGGAAGAGGGAAAATGGACTTCGGCTGATCTCAGAGGCAACTTTAAATGACACTGCTCTCTTTCAGCTATCTGGTTTTGCAATGTATTAGTCAGAAAATTGTTTTAGACCCGAAGAGGTTGGAGCCGGTCAGGCCACTCAACATTTTTCTTTCGGTGGTCAGCATGATTGTACACAGCACATTAAGTGAGTCCCTGACCGTGCACAAGAACACAAAACAAGCAGGAGGATCTCCCAACTCAACACAGCAAACTTGTCTATTCACCTTGTATCAACTGAAAAGAAAACAATTAATGTGCATAATCAAGACTGAATTACATGCAGATAGCTATAAAGTCTTTGAGTATCCTCCTTTAAAGGTAAAACCATAATGTGTACATTAAAAACCATTGGTGAATATCAAACTAAATGTATACATTTCTATACAAACTTTTGAAAAACGTTGTATTTCAAAGTATTGCCAAATAATTTTCCATGCGTAAAAATAAACAAACAATTTGTAACAGAAAGATCTTTTAGTCAAATTAGATTCTAACCAATATTACAATATTAATGGCAATAATAAGCATGGTAAATAAAAATGTTTCTGTGTTTTAGCATGTACATTTATGATGAATGACAAAATACAGATATCTTCCATAACAACAACTAGGATGTATTTTTAAGGCTATCTGTCATGAAAAAAATTAATATCGATGTTCGCAACTCAGTAAAAACAGTAGGAATCCTTTAAAAGTCATTTTAAGAAGTGGCATATACTCTAGTAATCAAAGTAACTGAATTTTTTATATTATTCTTTACTAAAATGTCTAGGATGCATTTCAGTTTTTAATTTTCTTTTCTTTTTATTACTCACATAAAAATATTATATACCTTCATACATGGAAAACTCTTCTATCTTGTCTTGAAAATGATTTCATCAGTGAAATCCTTTTTTCAAATATAATTTTATGTGGATTACCATTATATAGAGCAGTGGAAAATAATATTTACTAACTATATAAATTTATTTTATGTGTTCAGTGATATCACAAGCAATTTTTATTATTAATAATTTTAGTTAATAGTTTTTTTTATAGTTGAGTACATAAATTACTTTCCAAATCACCAATATTAGTGGGAGGAAAAAGAAGCTACTAAGATGTTTGTAGATTCCCTGAAATTGTGAAAGAATCTTGTCCCAGAAAAACAAGAGGAAAACAGCATTCATTCAATACCTTCCCAGAACAAGGGCAGTCTCACCTTTCAGATGACGTCTCCATGAATGAAGCAGCTTTGTGAGGACAGTTTCAATCACTGAATAATTCTTGATTGATTTTATAACACTTCTTAATTTATCCAAATTGGTGGTTCCACCTACGTTCGAGATTGTTTACATCCCTTTATCTTGCCTTGAGTCCCTGGAAGTTAAAAATTTGAGAACTTCTGTGAATGTATCTATAAGGTGGCAAGTATTTAGCATTTATCTGGAATTTCACTTAACAAGGAAGCACACGTAGTCTCATTAACATGGGCTTTTTGACTCATAAATCTAAATTATTCAATTTGATTTTACCAGATACAATAAACAGCTTAGTTTTGAATCATTAATTGGGATTCTATGTTATATGGGGCAATATATAAAATTTAATCATCCCAGTAAATGCTTTCCCCATTAATAATTATTTAAACAAATATTGACTACTTCCATATTATATTTAAAAATAAATTTACATATCAGTTGTCTGATGACACCTTATAAATATTATTGTCATAAATACATAAAACTATGACAACTTTAAGACTAGAAACAAGACTATAAATTATTTTCATTATTTGCACTGTCAATCCAGTTTGCTCTATATAGTGATTGGATCACTGCAATAATTATTGTCTGAATAAATAGCCAAAATGCAATTTGCTTTGGACTTACTCTCAAGCTATTTGGCAAAATCCTTGCCAGATCATCAGTGTAATCATCACAATCAGCAGCAATATTAGTTGTAGAGGAAAACGGTAATTTAATTTAATGCTTAAATATGTTATTATATTAGACGTTGAACAAAAATGAACATAATGGTAAATCGTATAAAAGAGCATAGGTCTTGGAATCAGTCAACCTATTGTAAAAATGTAGCCAAGTCATGTAGCGTTTGTGTAACTCAGTTTCCTCATTTATAAAATTGGAATTATAATAGTAACACTAATATTATATTATGTTAGTGTTATTAGTGTTATCAATATTAGTGTTATTAGTAATAACCTATAGGGTTACTATAAGAATTAAATGAGGTGAAATATATGAAATATCCCAAGGACTATTTAGTAAATATAATTATTTTACATAATTATCACATACAATGGAACGTTGGTAACATTCCATTAGAAAAATGTGGTCAACATGAGAATACTGACCAAAAATGGGTTTTTGATAACAGCATCATTTATTGAAATGAACTTTATTATTTTTGTATGCAACCTCAGATATTTCCTAAGATTTTGTGTGAAAACAAAAAAATATTTAAAATATATCAATTTAGAAAAGTATGTAGTTACAACCCGTAACTCCTTTCTCCATCCCAATCAACTCCAATTTTGAGTATTTTTGTACTTTAACATACTGTATTAGTCCGTCTTCATGCTACTGATAAAGACATACCATGTCCCTCCCACAGCATGTGGGAATTCACGATGAGATTTTCGTGGGGACACAGCAAAATTATATCACACACTATGTATACTAATTTTAATCAAACATAACCTGAATGAAAATATTATTGGAAGGTAAGTTAAAGTTCTTCCTCTCATGGATTTTGTGATGCTTACTTTTATTACCACCATGACGGTTTCTGTGTACAAGTTACATTTCTTTCTAGACCATAAATTCATAGTGAACTCTTACACTGTTAAATATCACCTACCCAATTTCTTGCCTCCATAAATTCTTATGAGTATTTTTTGTAACCTAAATAATATCAGCTGAGGTCAATTAATTATTCTTTAAGATTTATAGGAAATTGCTTACAGGCATCTATCTCATTATTCATGGAAAGAAGCCTTCTCAAGGTATCTATGAATTCAAGGAACTTAGATTCTCTGAGTCACTTCTGTCTACAGTTAACATGCTTCCTGAAATTTTGATCTCTCTTACTTTTCTCCTTCTCTTTTCCTCTTTTTTTCTGTGTGGACCCAGATGGAGAATTTATTCATTTCTCTTGATTTCTATATCCACTATACATGTAAGGCTTTAGCTTTTGGCTTTTTGAAGATTTGGAGCAGCAATTGTTTATTTAGCAATTTATAACTCAAATATGTTGCTTAAATTCTTTCCGCTTAAATTCTATAGGAATTTTTTTGGTCTGTTTCTTCTATTGGCTCCAGCCTTTGGGACCAAAGTTTCACCACTTCTAGTTCCAACCTGCTTAACTTCTGTAAAAAAAAAAATCATATAATTTCTCCACTCTCTGCCTTACTCTTTAAGACTGACCTTTGTACATCTAAAAATCCTATAATCAAAAAATAATACAACTTTGAGCAAGATTGACAGGGGACTTCTAACTGCAAACTTTCTTTTTTATACCACCCATTTCCATAAACAAAAGAAATTTATGATGTAAATTTTTGCCCCTGCCAATTGGGTTATGTCACCTTTTCTGTGGAATGTAGAATAGCTTTTCTAAAAACATAACTTTAAATGAACTTCATGACACACATGAAAGTCGAGAATTTAATATTTACATGCACTTTAGCATAATTGAGGAAACATTTCAAAATGTATGTTAAATATAGCCTCTACTTATACCTGGAAGAAGATGCAGCTACCTGTAGGGTCTCTCACAGATCCCCTAGATGGTCAATTGAATTATTAAATTTAAGTTTCCATGTAGATTGAAATGAAAAATAGGATATAAATATGTATACTCTTTCTTCTTATTTTTATAACTATTCTGCTTTTCAAATTAATCCACTATGTGTGATCTGTGTTAGCCGGTTATAAATCCTACAAAACATGAGCTACTATAGGAAATGGTCAACAGCAGACTGTGTATTTCTCATCATGAATGTTACAATTTGTTTCAGGTGATAAGACTAATATGTATAAAATTGATTTAATATAAAACAAATTATGGTTCATAAATCTAATAAAGTGCAAAATTAGGCTTAGATATTTCAGGCAATAGAGCCAAAGAAGATTTCTTTAGGAAAAAAAAAAAGTAGGCCACAGAATAATGTGTAGGATCTGGGAGAGGGGAGTCAACATGAGTGAACCATGACTTGGGCTTAATGGGAGACATTGAGCAAGCTGGAGAGGAAAGAAGCCGTTCTCTATTATTCCAGTCAGGCATGCTGGCTCTGCTTTTAAAGGTCTTAAATTCCCAGAGTACATTTATTCTGTGCTTTCAGTAAGACCATTTAATACAATTACACTCTTTCTTATAAACATTATATATTTTAAAATAAAGTAAAACTTTCATGAGTCTTACTGAACACACACACACTCATTCTCTGTGGTCTTTTAAATTCTGATTACATACTAAAATGCTGACTTAAAAATTATTTTGTTATGATAACCATTTAGAAAAATGCATTGACAAATATTTTTATTTGAGTACATTTTATTGGCTACCAATAAATAAATTTCTTTGATTTCATAGACTGTAACGTAAATTTATTTTAAAAAGCATTATACCTAGTTTAGAAATGATTTTAGTACAGTAGATATTCCATTAATATATGCATTTCTCATTAAACTATCTG